ATCTCCCATCACCTTCGGTGATCACATCTTGGAAGGCTCCACCACTGGGGATCATAGGCAGGACATGCTCCTGATGAGGTACAACCACATCCAGTAAGTAAGGACCAGGGGTATCCAACATTTTCTGAATTGCAGCCCTAAGATCTCCCTTCTTCGTCACACGGGCAGCAGGTATATCACAAGCTTCTGCAAACTTCAACATATTTGGGAATATCTCGGACTCTTTTGATGGGTTACCCAGATACGTGTGGGCTCTGTTAGCCTTATAGAACCGATCCTCCCATTGAACAACCATACCCAAATGCTGATTATTCAGCATCATTATCTTTACCGGAAGATTCTCCACCCTGATTGTCGCCAACTCCTGGACATTCATGATGAAACTTCCATCACCATCGATGTCCACAACAACCGCATCAGGTCTTGCAACAGCAGCTCCGATTGCAGCAGGCAATCCAAAACCCATAGCCCCCAATCCACCCGAAGTCAGCCACTGCCGAGGCCTATTATACTTGTAAAATTGCGCAGCCCACATTTGATGCTGCCCAACACCAGTACTTATAATGGCATTCCCCTTGGTCAACTCATCAAGAACCTGAATTGCATATTGAGGAGGAATAGCCTCTCCAAATGTCTTAAAACTCAATGGGTACTTCATTTTCTGCTCGTTTAGCTCCTGCCTCCAAGCTGAAAAATCAAGCTTACCCTGACCTCCTTTCCTCTCCAATATCATGTTCAGACCGTCCAATGCATACTTCACATCTGCACAAACCGACACATGGGGTTGCTTATTCTTCCCTATCTCAGCTGAATCTATATCAATATGAACAATTTTAGCACGGCTGGCAAAAGCTTCAAGCTTTCCGGTCACACGGTCATCAAACCTTACTCCAAATGCAAGCAACAAATCACTTTTGTCCACAGCATAATTAGCATAAACAGTACCATGCATTCCAAGCATTTGCAGGGAAAGCTCATCCGAACACGGGTACGCCCCTAGACCCATCAAAGTGCTAGCCACTGGAATGCCAGTAAGCTCCACAAATTGCATCAACTCCTCACTGGAATTCACACACCCACCACCCACATACAAAACAGGTCTTTTCGACTCCGATATCAACCTAACAATCTGTTTTAATTGGTCCACATTGGGTGGTTTTGGCAATCTAGACATGTAACCTGGTAATTTAATGGGTTGATCCCAATTTGGAACAACCAACTGTTGCTGTATATCTTTTGGAATATCAATCAACACAGGACCAGGTCTGCCCGAAGATGCAAGAAAGAAAGCTTCACGCACAATTTTAGGAATGTCTTCTACATCTAAAACAAGGTAATTATACTTGGTGATCGAGCGAGTTACCTCTACAATTGGGGTTTCCTGAAATGCGTCAGTGCCTATCATTCTTCTCGGGACTTGCCCGGTAATGGCGACTAATGGGATGCTGTCGAGCAGCGCGTCGGCGAGTCCGCTCACCAGATTGGTGGCGCCGGGTCCCGAAGTGGCGATGCAGACGCCCGGCCGGCCGGAGGCGCGTGCGTAGCCCTCCGCGGCGAAGACGCCACCCTGTTCGTGCCGCGGAAGGACGTTTCGGATGGTGGTGGAGCGCGTGAGGGCCTGGTGGATCTCCATTGACGCGCCGCCGGGGTAGGCGAAGACTGAGGTGACGCCTTCGCGCTCGAGGGCTTCGACGAGGACGTCGGAGCCCTTTCTGGGTTCGTCAGCGGCGAAACGGGAAATGAAGGTTCCGGGGAGGCTTTCAGGGGTGGAGGTGGTGGCGGGTTTGGGGTTGGACAGGACATTGGAGATATGGAGAGGACGGTGGAGAGTGGGTTTTTGGGGGTTATTGGAGAATGCGAGGGTAAACCTAGAAATGGGTTTTGAGAATTTGGAGGGGAAGAGAGGAGAGGGCTTGGAGATGGAGGTGTTCGCAGCAGTGGCCGCCATTTTTGACGGCAGAGATAGAAACAGAGGCTTCTGTAGGGTTCTGGCGAAAGAGAGACAACTCTGTGGTGGCAGATGAGAACTAATAAGGCGCCAGATAGGTAAAATTACTTGCATACCCTTTTTGTTTGTTTCCTAAAGTACTAGAACTCCTTTATTTTTTTCATTTTTGTAATTTTCTTTGTTTTTTTTTTTTTTCTTTATTGCTTTCACTTTTAAAAGAAGGAAATTTATTGGAATTTCATTGAAGTCTGAATGAAGAAGATACACAGATTCACCAGTTTCAGAATACATTTTTTCTGAAAAAAAAAAATTGGTGCTCATTCTGTCAGCAGCAAAGTGAAACACATGCTCATTTGGCTGTTGGGTGGGCCTTGCCCCCCTTTTTCTTCTTCTTCTTGTAGTATCTTTTTCATATCGAACTAATTATTTTAGTTAGAAAAAAATAATAATAATAAGAGTGAGAAGTGAGAACATAAGTGATTTTTAGGCAATTAAAGAAATATTACTTCCGTTCTAAAAACAATGTTGCTTTTGAAAAATTATAACAGTTTTATTTATGAGAATCACATTGTTTTAAAAATGACATTTTTTTATAGGACATAGAAAGTAATATTTTATAAAATAATAACTAAATTGGTTCTTCATTAACATTCTCGCCTTAACGACACATAAATAGAACCCATAAATTATCTCTGATATTTTCTAATGCATCTCATTGCTTCTACTATATTTAACTTGTTAAATTCATCTATAATAAACTCATTCCATGTTATCTTTGATTACCATCTCCTTCCCTAATTGATTCAATTTTCTAAAACAATTTCTACAAACTCTTAAAATGTATAAGAGCTTTTTACTTTATTTTCAACAAAACCATTTATTAAACAAAGTTTAAAAAAAAAAAAATTAATTCAAACAAACGTACTCAGTTACACAATACTTTTCAACATGTGTCGTTCTCCCGCTCCGAACACGCTCCCTCTATCACATTTCGCGCGCGCTTTGAATCAAAATTTCACTATTTATAACTTAATTATGTCACTCTCACACCCTCACTTTTGAATTTACTCATATTTTCGTCATACTTTATGTGACTTAGTACTCACATGCATTTTTATTTTTTTTATTTATATTTTTTTTTGCACAAAAGTTTTCCGTGAATTAAGTGCTTCCCCTTTCATTTTGTGGGGACAGTGGTTAAGAAGGCCAAAGACAAATTGGTATTTGGGACCAAACCATGCGCGCATTTGAACCGCCACATTTAAGTGACAACTTTACAAATGAGGACGAATGAGAAAAAGATTATTTTCAAGGATAAGATGTGGACGGACCAAAAATAATGCATGTGCATCAATTAAGCCTAAGATAGCTAAGAAAGTCACGCAGCCATTAAATTATTTCTGGGGACCATTTTAAACAATGATAAGATTAAAAAAAAAAATCAAATTACTCTAGTAAAAAAATTATTTTAATAGATATTTTCATTTGAAAGTACTCATATTTCTATTTTAGATTTTTTTTTTTATAAGTATTTAATTTTTTTTTATGACAAATGAAGACAATCTTGAAAAAAATTATGGTCTAACTCATATCCAAGAAGATTCATGTATGAATAAAATTTTAGTAGACTATAAATGCTATAAATAATTTTAAAGAGGTAAATAAGTTATAAGTATTATTCACTTCCACGTATAAAATTTTATTGAATTTAATACACCGACAAGGTTGATCTATTATGATATGGAGGTTACGAGGTCAAAATAAGGAAATAATATTTTCACATACATATATAAGAAGTAAAACATTATATTTGATTTGACTCTCTCCAAACTATGTAATGACGGAAGCCTATATGGATGAGTGCAACTAGACCTGTCAATGGAACTGATCCTGATCCGGATGTGAATTGAACAAAAAAATCCGATAACTCGATTATAATCCGAATTCGATAATTCGTTTGCTTAACAAATCGGATATGGATTATGCTGATCTGATCCGATCCGATCCGATTAAAATTATATATATAATTATTTATCAATAATTTTACATATTTATATCAATACATTGTATTAGAGGTAACCAAAAAATCCAAAAAATAAAAAGAAAATCATAATGTTATATATCTAATAGTATGGTGTTCTTATCCACATGCTAATTAATCTCTTAATATACATATTAATAGTGTGGTGTTCTTATCAATGTTATATATATTAGTTATATATTACTAAATTTTTATTCATTTGGTTTCATAGTTATATTATGTAGCATTCTGTATATTAGCAATTCTCCACGATTCGAGTCCGAGTTAAATAGGATATAGATTTGGACATTCAGTCTGAGAACCCTTTAGTAATCTAAATCCGATAATCTTTTTAAGCTTCGGATATGAATTTGATCGATCCGATTCGAATCCGATCGATTGCCAGGCCTAAGTGCAACACTACTAATTTAAGCGAATGAGAATCCATTAATCTTATCTTTTGAATATTGATCGATTCCTTGAAAAATAAATTGAGTTTTCTAATCAAATTTTGTATAAAAATTTAGTAGATTATAGAAGCTATAACGTACGTAAATATATATATAAACGCACATATAATTATAATAAATTTTCACTCATCTTGACATAACGATTAGGTTGCTCCATTATGACATGGTGATCACAAGTTCAAAATAAGAAAACAATACACGAATGTAAGACCAAAATTGAGATGGCATGGCCAGAGCTTGAGATTCTAAAATTCACCAAAAACCCTAATAAAATTAAATTATAAAAAGAACATGGTTACATACACGAAGTCGACACCAGTAAGGTAACTTCGGGTCATATTAGCAGATGGTGTTGAAGGTCTAGGCCTGGACTTGTTTCGGACCAAACCAAGTTTGACTTGGGCCGTCCTGGTCCAACCCGATAATTAGGTCCACCTCTTGGGCTTAAGTTATGAAGCCTGACCTTATCCATAAGCTAGAACAGGCCTGCCAACACACCTGTTTGAGCCCAATATTGGCCTGCCATGTGATGTGAACAAGATATGCGCTTATTAGAGATCTCCTCTCTCTCTCTCTCTCTCTCTACACACTGACACACCCAGAGAGACCACTTCGCAGATCTCTTCGTCTTTGGAGCTCAACAACGTAGCCGGCGGGTCTGCGGTGGTCACGAAAGTTGCCGACAGGTACGAAACCCTAATTTAGTAAGCTCTCTGTTTTATCCGTCTATGTGTATATGTGTGTTATATGACTGCGCATGTGTAGGTGTAGGATGGATGGGGTTGTTGTTAGGGTTAGGGTTGTTTTGGTGCTTTTTCTTAGCCTAATGTCTGTTTCTAAATTTCTTTAATTTCCATTTTTTGTGATATGAGGATTACTGTCATTTCAACCATGTAAACACTTGTTGATCATTACTGGAAAATCAGTTTTGGAATTCTTACTGCATCACCACCGCCAGCAACCTAAATCGAGTGTCTGTAAATTTTTAGCAATTTGAACTTCTGTCTCTCCTTGCATCCGGCAATGATCTCGGGGGTAGCTTTGAGAGTTTTTTGGTGGCAAAAACTGTTTATTTTTTATTTTTATAAAGCTAAAGCTTTCCCATTGTTTCTGTTTTTTGTTGACAGATTTGAATTTGGTGTTTGCTATCTCGAGCTCATTGTAATTTCTTGATGATTTGTGGTTGTGCTGATATTTTCTTGACGTTTAGCTTCTAGTTTTTTTGGTTCTGAATCTTCTGATCCTTTCAAAATTATATTTTAATTTGAATGGTTTGAATATATATATATATATATATATATATATATGTATGTATGTATGTATGTATGTAGACATGCATATAGGTGATTTCTATCATTGATGCAGATGTTGTTAGTTACGTGAAGGGGAGCACTTGCTCCTCCCCCGATGTCTTAGTAGATCTTTTGGACTCTTTGGGTCCTTAGGTTCCTATTCCGTTTTTGTATTAGGGACGCGTTCCCCTTTTGAACACCCTTTTTATCGATTATTACTTATCAAATATATATATATATATATATATATTCCTTATAACTTGGCCTTTTTGTTGTATCTGATTGAATGTTCATGATCAAGGAAGCTGAACATCCATTTTATTTCAAACAGTCTAACTAAACTGAATGAGCGCATTCCAGGGTGGGGGTTGGGATGCATATCAGTTTGGTTCTAGAATTTCAATGATATGGTTCTGATTCTTATATTTTCAGAACTGTTGGGACCGATTCGGTTCATCTCAGAACCAGACTAAACGCGTGCACCCCTAATTTTAACAAGTCAAGCAGTTCATGAACAGTTTGGTGCAGAAGTGGAGCACACATGGTAATTGATAAGATTTAAAAGGAGAAGTTGTTAATGAGAGTAGAAAAGAAAAACGGATAATATCAATAAAATTTCTAATGGAAGAAAACAGAACTTAACATAGTTAGCGCTTATGCACTAAAAACGTGGGATTACACAAACACGTTAGAGCCAATCAAGGGAACATACAGATATATTAACAAAGATACTCAAAGGAGAGAAATTATTTATAGGAGCCTATTTTAATGATCATGTAGGAAAAGATTACTGATGGTACCAGATGGTATAAATTTGGAGATAAGAATGCTGTTGTGGAGCTAATCCTAGATCTCGTAGTGGCATGTGATCTTTTAAGAATCTTTAAAATTAGATCAGATAACCTTTAATATATATATATCTGATAAGAGTTGGATCTTATGCTAACTGGAAGAGTTAATCGATTAACGTGCATGGTTGTAAGACTATTCTGATGTAGAATTTGATGACACGACATAGATTGATAAATTAAGAACAAGATTTTAAAAAAGGTATCATGAAGTTTAGAAGATAAAGCAAACACAAATTATGATGATCGAATGTATTAAAAGAGCATAAAAAAAGGAACATTGATTAAAAGAGGTTTCTGAAGAAAAAAAGGGAAAGGTCCATTTTCTGAGAAAACTTGATGGTTGGTGAAGGATGTCCAAACTGCTGTAAAACAAAAGCGACTGTTGTCAAATTTAGCAAAAGATAGAAATGAAGCAAGCTTCAATAAATACAAAGAAAGTGTAAAAAAAAAAAAAAAAAATTAATGGTAATATATTGATACAGTTGCATAGTTAGCAGTTAGCACCTTCATGAATTCAAGAGGTAATTAAAAATCTATCTGTGTTATTTTTAGTTGGTATTTACTAAGTAGTTGTAAACTTGTTGAGTAATGTTGAGTAGCTTTTTTGCCCTGATTATTTAATTCCCTTTGTTTTGAACAATTAACAGTATTAAATTACTCTACTTTTACCATCCGTTTGTTTTGCATCAAATATTGGAAGATTTTATAAATTAGGTAAATATAATGGGGGGTGATATATATGTAAATAGATATGTATATGTATAGAGAGAGAGAACCTAACCGGAAAAAAGAGAGAAGGAAATATATGTAAATATATAGGTAATATGTATAGAGAGAAAACCTACCCAAAAAAAAGGAGAGGGGGAGAGAGAGAGGGAGGGAGGGAGAGGGAGAGGGAGAGGAGGAGGGAGGGAGAGAACTAAGAGTTATCATATTAAGTGTTCGAGATTGGTAATCTAAAGGTTTTGTGAAAGATGATGGAATTACTTTGAAAAATTATCGAATGAAAAACATACAAGTAACTTAGGTTTAGAAGGATATTTTTGACTTTAGGAAGACTACAGAAACTTTTTCGTAGAATCAGGATGGGCTATATAAAAATGCATTGTGGGAAATGAAACAGCATGGGATTTATGATCAAATAGCATTCCTATTAGCATCTTGAAGTGTTTAGAGAATGATTGGCGAACAAAATTGTTTAATAAGATAAGAATATGCTGACGAGTGGTGAAATATTTTATTACGTTTATCCAAATAAGGGGTGTATATGAAGTTATACAAAGTATTGTGCTGTTATATTAATAAATCATACTATGAAACTTTGGGAGAGAATAATGAATGACTAAGACAGAACAATAGTGTCGGAAATCAATTTCGAACACACACTTGTTCGTTTTAGAGGAGTTGGTGGGATTCGCAGACTGCATAGTTTAATGTGAAACATCTTTTGTTACGTCTTTTTAAGAGTTCTTGGAGCAGATCTTTTGGTTTACTTGTGATTTTTCTTTCATTTGGTGGATATGATTTACCTTCACTCCCTCCTAATAAATATCTTCATTTCTTTTAAATTAATTATATGCTTGCAGGAGGAACCACATCCAGAATTTGATGAATGGTTGCTACATCATCTAGTGCCGTACGGGTGGCTTTGTCCTACTGCGTACAGCAAGTACGAAATTATGACTACCATCACTATCTCTGCCTTCTTGAACTTCCCCCACACATAAAGGTCTTCACCTGATTTAATTAATCTAATTCAGTATAATGGCTTCCAATATTTGCTTTATTGAGATCAAATTATATATTAGAGTTTGTAACACCAGGCACCAGCAATTAAAGTTATTGAAATAGAGTTTCAATTTTTGGACTACAGTCGTTTGAGAACACGCATATTAATTGTGGGTAAAAAGTGGGTGTGTGTTTCTTTCTAGCCAAAAAAAGCCCCATTTTGTGTTCTACCATGTGCCATGTGGGTGTAAATACAAATGTGATCAGAGAGTTGTTCTCTCTCTTGCTGAGCGCCATGGTGCAACCACAAATAAAAGCAAGTTTCTTGATTTATTCATTAATTAATTTATTTATTTTAAATGAATTTGAATGGACCAAAACACATTCAGAAAAATAGTAATAATAATGGACCAACAAAATATCCATAACATATAATTCTCTAGGTGAATTTCCTGTTTTTGTCCCCTCATCTGCACAAGGTTTAAATCTCAAAGAGGGTTGGGTGGTTGGAGAGGAGAGCAGAGCAAACAAAAAAGGTGACAACGATGGAGAGCTAAAAAGAGAGAACATGAGAGGGAGGAATTTTTACACCACTCAATATGCATGCAAATGCGTCCGCTTTATTCATATTTTTGCATTGCCCATGTGGTCCCGAGCTATGTAATAATTTCTCCATAAGAGTTGGTGGTGGTGAGAGGTGGCCACCACATGGTCGCAGGAGCGAGGCCATCCCAGAGATCTGTGTTTACAGGCACCCACTTCCATACCCAGTGCACACAGATGCACAGAGGAACATAATCTGAGCAAGGTAAGAATTCAGGTAGAGTGCAAAAATCATAACTCTGCAAGTTCCATACGAACTTAAGAAAAACGGAGTATATTTAAATTTGAAATTTGTTAGGTTCCAAAAACAGAAAAACACCCGAGTCTACCATCACATAATTACTACTATCATTTTGACATAAAGATAAGATTACAAAATATCATGATCCTGCTGTTGCAAAGGCTCTGTGACGAAGAGCATACTTGTCATTCAAGCCATGCCTCCAGTTGTCGCTGTCCGGATAATCTGAAACAAAGCTGGCACAATGGAAAAGAAGGAAATGCAATCAGTAAACAATAGGAGTTGGGGGCATAAATAAGACAAATCTTATTTTATTTTTCTTTTTTGGTTGGATAAGAAACATAAAATCGAAACTATTATTGGCCAAGACAGTTCCAAGTTCGATTTTCATTCCAGCAGAAATATAAGCATTGTGGGCTACTGAGTGAATTGCATGTAAGGAGACCATCACAGACAGAATGAAAGTAGGGGCAATCGTAAAAAAACACTCTGGTTTCAGTTCATTTCATTTTTTTTACATCCTCAGAACAAACCCAAATGCAGAATATCTGCCAGGCGACCCGCACTCGTAAAAAGTTGCAAAATCTAGTCATATATATCAAGAGAATAAGGAAAAAACAAATTACGAGACTTCTACATTTTTCCCTTCACGGATCTTTTGTCAATGCCAAACTGACTCTTAGAGCTTGGTTAGAACAGTAGGTGCACGTGCGTGTTTTTATGTTTTAATTTCAGGTCAGAAGTAAATTGAAATCAGCATGGAGGTCAGTAACTTTTTTTCCCGGTCTCCCTTCAGTTATGCTTTGAAGGAGCAGAGACTTTAATTGATATGTATTATCTCAAATCAGGACATGGAAGAAATAAATATAATTATATTTTACTTTCATTTAAGTTTCAAAGGTGAAAAATAAATACAGGACAGTTTAATCAGAAAAGAAACTCACATGATCCAATGACAACAAATATGATGAACCCTAGCAAAACAGGCCCCACTGGATAAGAGTTTCCTTTCTTTGTTGTCGTTTCAGGCACTGCACCCCTCTTCTTGATGTTATTCTCAAATTTCTCCACCTTACGGTCTGCAAGACGCCTTGATGTTGTCTGTAGAAACAGCAAATGATAAAAAATAGCACACCATTTGTTAAAGAGGAGGAGAGGCAACAATTCATTTAAATTAAAATTTACAAAACCAACCGAAGGAATCTGAACATAACTTCAATACCTTACACTGCTAGAGGAAGGTATTGAAGGTAAATACAATAGTGAGTTAAGAGTGACATGGTCCAAGTGCAGAGGACAAAATCTTTAACTTGGGTGAATATAGTAAATAAAACTATGAGAACATGTTGTCTAACTGAAGTTACGGTATTGAAAGGAATAAAGTGATGAAACACGATTCTTCTTCTTCATGTTCTTGGTAACACTATACCCAAATCTCATAATTTGAGGTTTACTACAGAGGAAAAAAAATGCAAATGCATATGGATCTCAATTGGACCCATATTTAATTAAAGAATATTAGAGCGGACTGATACGCAGTCCTTCAAATCTAACAAACTCATAAATTCTCATAACTTATAGAACAAGTACCTAGATATAAACTTTTCACATTCAACTTAGAATTGGAAAATTTCAAGAATTGAAGCTTCAAATTGTTTGATTTTTTATTTTTGATTTTTGATTTCATATACCTTTTGCAAGAAACTCAAACCCTCACTTTTTGCCTCTATGGGGACTTGAACCCTCGACCTTCTACTTGTGGAAGTAACACTAGGCTAAAGCCTTTGGTTCAAATGTTGAATTCTCAATACATTATATATATATATATATAAAAAAAAAAGAGGAAAAAAATAAAGAAAGGTTGAATTCTCAATGCAGAGAATTGAACATCTTGAACTTAGGTTAGAAGATGAGATTCTCTTTTTCAGAAGGGCATGAAATTGTTTAAATCATGCACATACACAGAATTAGATTAAAACTAAATAATAATTATCATTTTCAGAGTCTGTAGAACATATCGATTTCATCACCATGTTAGGAATAGGTCATGTGTTGAATAATTTCCTACTCAATAGTTGGGTTGTAACGTGGAAAAGTGTCATGAGTCATTTGAGGACAACCACTGAAGGCAATACAAACAGATTTACGAAGAACATGGCAAGAAATTCGCCTCCTCAATCACATATCTAGGGCTCAAGTAAATTGATTTTAGAAAGAACTTAAATTACCTAAATTAATCTCAGAGACTCAAACTCGTTTTAAGTGTCTTTAAGAAGTGGCTTTTCAAAAGTGCAGGATTCAAACGTACTTCAAAATTGTGTTTTTTTCTGAGAAATAATATGCATCGATTAATTAGTCAATCGATCGGAAAAATCCTGTGTGTCAATCGAGCAATGGGATGTCTTTTGCAGGTTTTAAATCCTGAGAGCATCAATTGAAAGGTTGATCAATCAAAGTTTTTGTAACAGAAAAATATTTTGAAATCTAGAATGCCTCGATCAAGACTTGTCTAGTGGGTATCGATTAAAGTCTCGATTGATCGAATCCTTCGGACCTATATTTTTGAAAATTCTATCATAACAGAATTCTACAAGGATTTAACTTAGCAAAACGTATGGCCTACTTACATTGGCAATAAATATGGGGTTGTAGACAGTCTAGGTTATGATCTGAAGCCCCTAATCATCTAGAGAGAGAAAATCTTTGAGAGAGTGAAATCTCAAAGATTGAAATTCTCGATCACTCTAGGATTTTCTTAAACACTGTGATATGTGATTGAGTATTCATCTAGGAGGAATTCATCAGCATATCGACACGATTCAATTCAGCCGAAACGATTTCAGAGCAGAAGGATGGACAACCGATGGAGAAGTGAATTCGTAAGGACCGGAGTTCATTGATGAGTAGACGAAAACTTGAGTAGAGCTGGATTAAGTCCCGTGATTTTTTTTTTTCTCTGTTTCGATTAGGGTTCTAAATGTATAAATTTGCGTCTCAACTCTATAATTAATTTTATGAATGCATAGTGTTTATATGTGATAGTTGAACTAGAAAAATAACAGATACAAACTAAATTAAAATCACAATCAACATAACTACCTAAAAATTAATTGAGATTTTAAATTTATATCCATAAGACCTATTCACCGAGCTTTAGGTCTAAGTACCGGCTCACACTCTTGACACATGAGAGCCTTGCGTAAGATTCCAAGCCATTTTGCAAGGAGTGTGAAGTAAAATTGTATCACAGTCAAACTTATATCGATTAACAAGAATTGAGTTTCTCTTAAAGAAATAATGCAATCAATTTATGGATACAAACATGTCTTCAGAAAAAAATACAGTTCTTCATTGTCTTCAAAAGATAACTTTTTCATCAATCCACTAAATAGATAATAAGATGCTTTATCTCATCAGCAAATTTACCGTTAAAATTGCAAAATACAAAACAAGTTAACACGGATCTAATACATACACACATATCACAATATATAATATAACTAATGTATATGTAACCTAAAAGAGATAAGAGAAATCCAGATCTGACCTTCACAAAATTCAAAATAAAATCAACCAAATTTTAGAATTTGATAAATCCAATTCAAACATGAAAAATTCATAATCGAAAAGATTAAAATGATTAAACGAAGAGATATATAGACATATACATATAGAGAGAGAGGGGGGTAGAGATTACCATGGTCGTGGACGAGATGAGCTGAGAGAGATTTTGGTACTCCGATGTGGTTCTCAGGCGCTTTTCCGCAGTTCGTGTTTATTGATTTTCTTTTCCTCCTTCGGTGAAATCAAAGAAGGAAACGATTGTCTGTAAGACGTGCGTGCCGATATATAGTCCTATCGATAATATAATAATGGGTTAATTACAACGACACTCGTGAGATTTGCTATAATGACACTCATATACAAATTAGACATTTTTTTGAATAATAACACCCCTTCACAAAATTTGGAGCCAAACAGACCCCTAAAAGGTTTGAAAAGACAAAATTGCCCATCAATATTTAACTAATTTTAATTGTAAAATATTAGATTTTTAAAATGACACTTTTGCCCTCCTTTTTCTTTTCACCCACCGCCATCATCTCCTCAACCACAACCCCTTAACCACAGCCACCACCACTTACCCTCAACCACATTGCCACCATCTCCTCAACCATATCCCGCCGCCACTTCTCTTCAACTACAGCTGCCACCACCGTCTCTCTCTATGCATCAGTGATTGCACAATATCACAGCTCTTATCATCACCACTATGCTTGATCTGTGCAAAAATTTGCAAAAACAAACAGAGGAGCAACCCACAGATCAATCCAGATCCATTTGCCTCTTGAGACCGTGGTGGGAGGTTACGACGGAGGTGGTGGTGGTATCACCAGAATCAACTGAATCAGATTCATTTGATTCCTTTGCACGATCTGAAATCTTGCTTGAATCTACTTTGGAAAGCAAAAGGCTCAGAGCATTGGATTCACAGAAAGCGGCGGTAGCGATGGTCACTAGACGGAGCTCAGCGATTGCAACTGAAAAACCAGCGAAACACGGCAAGACCTAGATCCAGTTCCCGACGGCGACTTCTTCAAACCTCTCGCCGACAGTCCAGAGATAGTCGTCGTTGAAGAACTCAACGATGAAATCAGCGTTCTGAAATACTACAGCAAGATTTCAACCGCGAGCCAAGCTCGTCTATGCACAGCGATCAGAAATACACACAAACAATGAGTTCAGCAAGTTCAACCAAAGGAGGCAGAGGCAAGCCCAGGTCCTCCAAGAAAGGCGGCTAGGTATTCAAGAACGGCGGAGAAGTAGACCGGAGCACCAGCACCGACTCGCTCGGCGTATTTGCCAGCTTTGAGGTAGCTGGCGATTCTGCCGTTGAGGAATTGAAGACCGGCCTTCTGAGGTTCTTGAACTTGCGGGGAATACGAAGGTTTCAATTTATTTGTGGTATTAGATCCTTGTAAACCCAGATATTGGGTAATTTTGATTGGATATAGAGGAATGAAAATAAAAATTTCTTGTGTAAAAAAAAAAAAAAAAAAAAAAAAAACTCTCTGCACCTCTTCAAGCTGCTCACGTTATAGTCCAACGCCAGTAAAGACGAGTCCACCAAGGACAGCTGTTTGAAGAACCCAACGGAAATTGGGTGTGTCGGCGGTTGCTACTATTGGGTCTTCGATCAGTCCATGTTGTATATAGAGGGACGTGAGAGGTTATTTTGGACATTTCAAATTTATTAGAATGGGTAATTTAGTAATTTTGCTATTCAAAAGTGTCATTTCATAAGTCGAAGGGCACTTAGGTCATTTTATCACATATAAGCCCCTTAATGGGTGTCTTTGTCAAAGGAGCAAAGCTTAAGGGGTGTCATTGTTCAAAAGTGAGCTAACTTGTATATGGTTATCAATAAGGTAAACTTCAGGGGGTGTCATTGTAATTAACCCTATAATAATATACTAGTATAATAGTTTATCTAAATTAATAAACTTGGATCAAAATTAACAATAAGAGAATATATACTATAATAGTTTATCTAAATTATTTTTATTTTTATTAAATAAAATAAAAAATCTAAATAATATATTGAATAAATATTTTTCATTTAAAAAAAAAAAATAAAAATAATATAAGAATCTACATAAACAATTTTTTTTAGAACATTTTAGGGAGTTATAAATTATATTATATTATTATTATTTTTTTCATCATTATATTATCATAATGGTGATAAGAAATTGAACGGGTAAAAAGTCAAAATTTGAAAACTGAGACAGCTAAATTGGACCGGGTCTGTGGATGGCCATAATCGACCCGTTGAGATAAACTTATGAAGTAAGTTTCAAACTAAAACTTCACTCACTTTAAATTTTGCTATAACACTTTTATCTGCCATTTATAAAACAGTGAAAAGGTGTTTTTATTTTTATTTTTATTTTATATATATATAGAGGGTTTTTTTTTTTTTTTTTTAAATGTATTTTCCGTCCATTACTTCAATTTTGCAACCAAATCCTCTTAGTTTTTGGAGTTTGAATAAAAAGAAAAAGAAATGTAATGAAAAATTTGATTTCTTGCACAAAACACAGGAAAATATTTTCCCGTGAAAGGAGATCATTTTTATATGACTTTCCTATTCTACCCAACAACTTACTTTTTTTGTATTTTGTATTTTTTGGAGCCATGTTCTTCTTTGTGAGTTGTCAACCAGTGTTTTTATAAAACAATCTTCTTTTTTTTTTTTCTAATAAAATAGGATAAGTGGCGTCTTTTTAATATAATCCATGATATTTATTATTATTATTATTTGATAAGTATCATGATATTTATTATTATTATTTAAGTTTTCTCGTTTCTCTTAACTAATAAGTTAGTTCTACTTCTACTGAGAAAGAAAATATTATGAAGACTTATATTAAATATAAACAATAGAAATAAAAATAAATAATTATATTATTAAATTTAATAATCTATTAATTTACTATTTCTTTGCTAAAAATATACATCATCAAACACAAATTCATTTAAATTTTTATTTTTATTTATTTATTTTTTTAATATTTGAAAAAGTTTTGGTATATACAATCACTTCCTTTTTCACTTTCATGTTATCAAAACTATTATTTTTCAACAATTTTCTTGAATAAATTTTCATGCTTACCAATTACAATGTTAGAAAATAACTTTTCTTCTATTTTTTATTTCTTTTATTTTCTTGTTTATTTCCATGTAAACAAACAGAGCCTTAGGGATTAAAAAGAGAGAGAACGGTGGTAGCCGAAATCGAATTCAGAAACACCATTACTCATCTAGGAAATGGTAGGGACAAAATCGAACTCAGAAACACCACGACTCATCTAGGAAATGGTAGGGAAGAAATCGAACTCAGAAACACCACGACTCATCTAGGAAATGATAGGGAAGAAACAGAAAATCAAATAACGAATAACACACACACAAACGCACATTCATGCACACCACATTGTCCCATGCAGAGCTTGAACCACTCACCTCTCCCTTAGCAAAGAGAGGGTTCATATAATGACATTTCCTGTTTCTTTCAATATTTAAATGCAGAAGAAATCTGATAAATGCATCCAAAAAACATATACCACATCAGAAAATACAGATCCCCAGCAATTTTACATAATTTTCAACTAATTTGAAATTTGGTCATTCAAATCTATTAATTGAGATAAAGCTAACTTGATACCCAACAGCATAAATTCCCTTCAACTGTCAACACATGTTTTCTGCAAAAAATGTGAAGTCTCACAGACCTTCAAATCTATGATTTCAGATAAAGGTAACTTGATAACCTAACATTATAAATTCCTTCAAATGTCAAAAGAAACACATGGTTTCCACACACTACAGTGTGGAATCGCGACTATAAAAGCCATCCAGGTTCGTTATTGATGCATAGATGAGAACATAAATGATAGGTGTTACAAGAGCCATTCAGGTTCGTTATAGATTAGGTATAAATGAGACACAAACGATAGTTGTGACATAGGTGTTATACCAGGAAAATGTTACACGTTTAAATTATAAAGAAGCTGAACTATGAGATTGACCAACCCAAAAAATTACAAGTCAAGATCATGTTGTTCACTGAGGGAGGAATTCATTGGAATCTTTCACCAAGTTACATAGGGCATCACCAAAGAATGTTAATTATATGATGAAACCTCGCATTGACAAGCAGACCACCTGTTTATTGAAAGCTTCTAAGAAGGGGAAAGAAGAAGGAAAGAGAAAGGAAGAACAAGGAAGTTATTTTCTGTATATGGTTTGAGAGAAGAAAGAAGAGAGATGATAAAAGAATAAACAAGAAAGGGAAAAATTAGAAAGAGAAGTGAAAGAACTTCTAAATTCCTTTCTTATTGTTTGGTGGGAAGAGAAAGTAAAGGAAAATATAAATAAAAAATAGAAGGGAATGGAAGGGAAAGTAAGTTTCTTTTGTGTTGCTGAGAAAAGAAAGATGGGGCTTTCAAAATTCTCCTATCCTCTCTTATAAGAACTACACTTGCTTAAGAGTATTTAAATGATAACTACAACAATCACTCCTCCCTCTTCTCCAAATAAAAATATAATAAAATAAAATAAACAAATAAATAATCAGTAAGAATCGGCGAAAAAGTTCACTGATATGAACACTTGAATGCAGATCGAATCAGTATCAGATTCCAGAATCATTCAAATCAGTAACTTATGGAAGTTAAACTTAGAACTGCACATAAATGGTGATAAGAGGAATCATAAAACAATTTTTAATGACATGGGACCAAGTTATTATAGGCCTCAACAGTATGAAGACGTTGTAGTAAAACCTGGTTCCATATATAATAGTTCAGTAGCTTCAGTTCATTTTTAATTAGAAGTTAATCAAAACTCTAGGTAGCACCAATAAGCTCAAGTCTTCCATCGTGCATTCAGCACCATAGCATCTGCAAATGAGCCATCTTAACTGCAACAAAGAAAAAAAGGCCAGGGTTAACATCAACATGTCTTAAGTCCAAACCATACAAATATTCGGATATGTACTGATACACCTTAAGTAAATCATATAGCAAAATATTAATTCTGTAGCAAGTCATCACAACAATGAAAGGAACCATACTATCTGAAAACACCATTGACCCCAAGGGCAAACTATGTGGGGACTAGGAATTTTGTAAAATCCTGTTCCCTGATACAAGGAAATGGCAAATTCCAAAATACTAACAAGTTTTAACACGTGGCCCGCCCTAATTACACACGGATGAAACTTGAGGAGGTCCATTGTATTTTACCCATTTTAAAAAGAATTGCAATTTGAGTCGATTTAGGCCTACTTTTTGGAAGTCCACATTTGAAGGAAAGTTCAAAAATTCTTAATATAGCCCCTATCTCTATTATTTCTCTCATTTTATGAGCTTCGTGATTTATGAAACACTCTAAATTTATAAATAATCTTCTTAGATTCACTCTGTGAAAAAAAATATATATATATACATTATATATATTTTTAATTTATTCTTATACTACTAATTCTGCCCCCGAAAGTAAAAGTTTCTGGGTCTGCCCTGGTGGACTTCCATCCCCACACACACACACACAAAAATGATAAGAGAGAGGAAAAGGAGGCCATTTTCCTAATCTTATAAAACTAACAAAAGACAGCATAAAGTTTCATTGAGACTCAGATATGTGGTGCAAGCATTTGCCACCAAGTGACTAAAGTAGGAGTAATCTCAAACCTTTTTTTGCAACAAAATGATGATCTGTGACTACATTTCCTCAGTGCATGTTTGAATATGGCTGAGGATACCTAAATATAGGTCCAGTGCCTGTTTGAATATGGCTCGACAGAGGATAGCTAGACTTTCGGAACAAGTTGTGGTGGACCCACCAAGAAAATATTAAGCATTAAATAACATCTCAAATGGACCAAGAAATGAGGAGAGGTGACATCATAATTATGGCAGGTTGGTGAAAGTAGTCAACAAAATGCATCCCCGTGTACTGACATTGTTTGCCTTCCCCCCTCCCCTTCTTTTTATCTTTATTTTTTATAAGTGCATTGTTTGTATTCCTCTTATCGTTCTCATGCCTCCAATGGATCTAACAAATGATTATTTGTCGATAACTGGCCTTGTCCAGTGGCATAGGCCCTATCGGCTAGCAGTCTAGTCGCACTATGATTGGCTCTAGGCTCATAGCCCTATTGTTTTCCACACTCCTGGGATCCAATATAATGTCCCCATTGTAATAGGCCAATAATAGAGCTTTAAGCTACTAAGAGACTCCAGACCGGAATGCACATCCTTAGGGCTAAGGCTACAAATGACCCAAGTTCAGACGGTTGTTAGTCTGTTCGGGTTTGTGGGCTCGACTCGGGATTGTGACAAGCTCAAAAGGCAGAGCTCAGGTTCGGTGCATCAATATTTTAAAAGGCTGAGCTCAGCTCGAGCTCGAAAGATTACTTTGCTTCGTTCATGAACTTATAAGAGCCTACACAAGCCTACGGGAACAAACACATGTGAGCCTACATGAACCGAGCCTAACAATGTTTGGGATCGTTTAATAAACAAGCTCAAAAATCAAGCTGGAGCTCAGTTCATTTACTTAATGAACGAGCTCGAAACAAGCTTTAAACAAGCCGATCCCATGTTGTTCATGAACAAATCGGTTCATTTGCAGCCCTACTTAGGGCTGACCTACTGCAAATTCCATAAGCTTTCAGGTCTTTTGTCCAGACAGCCTCACTCTCATTTGAATGCAACCTGTCATCTCTCCTGTTCCTAATTGCACCACCTCCGATATTTAAGAACCCCAGTAGCTATGGTATGCAATAGTGACCTGATGAAAGACCAATCTGATGACATAATATGACTGATAGCAATTTCTGACCAACGAGCATCCTTCAACCAAGACATTCAACGAATCAAAATTATTTATTTAAAATCTTTCTGGATAATGAATTACTTATATCATCTGTGCTATCTGGTGTTTGCATTAAAACTGAATATTAAAATTTCTTGAGGAGGGTAGGATTAGGGCGAAGGCCAAAATATATCAATTAGAATACATGACCAGAAAGTCGGTTAAGTAATTAATTGCAGAAAGACACGAGTACTAGTTTCACTAAAAACTATGAAAAATGAAACCATTTTCCAGAAGAAAAAAAAAAAAAAAGGCAAGATAAGAAGCATACATTCATTAGGATCCGTAAATAATCGGTATTCCTGTTCAAGACCTGTGAACCATTACTGGCACCCAAATATTGAATTTATAGCAATAGTTGGCCCAATCAGCCATTGGAACAATAATATCAGAATTGATTATCCTTTCTCAAATGACTTTTTTCTACAATTTTTTCCTTTCACCTACAAGACCTGGAAAAGCACAAACACTGAAACTCCGACAAACTTATCTGCTTATTTCGTTTAACAGTTCACACAAATTACACTTAGGAAACCTCAAAAGTTCAACTTATCTTCTTTTTAACAGCAGAACAAACCATGAACAGAAACAAATAAATAAACATCAGTATAAAGATAGAGATAGAGAAGAAGGGGAAGGGGTAGAGAACTACTTCCCAATTTCATTATACTGACAAAATGAATACACTTATATAAATCATATACCATCAGGGCTGAAATCTTGCTAATACTTGTGGTACAAATGTTTATCATTTTGAGATCAATGCAAGGAAGATTAAGATAATACTAAGTGCATCTTAGAAGTTGACCTTGAAAAGATTAAAAGGGAACTATTAATTGGGATGGTTGGACAGGTTGAAGAAGACCGCTAATGGACTGCATGGAAGATGAGGTGGGATTATGGCAAATTGGCAACAAATAAACATGATCTTAATTTGCATCATAAAGGGGAGTGTGCCTGTGGGTGTTTGAAAATACTTCTTTAAACCTTTTAGAGAATGGCAAAGGGACTTCCTTAAAAAGAGCTTTATGGTTGGGGCAAAATTCTGTCCATCTCTAATACTCTACAACTGACCTGACACTAATTTGAAAAACACCCAAGACATTACGAGAAAGCAAGCACAGAGCCCACATCTCCTTAACCATCTACAATGAATAAGAAGATGATCCACTAAATGCCAATCAACACCTTATAGATTGCTTAACCTTGTATCTTTTAACATTGCATTGGAATTGAGAGAGTTGAAAGGTAGAGAAGGGAACGGAAAAGGGAAAAAGGTTATAGCATGTTCGGTTAAAAATTGAGGAAGAAAAGAAATAAAATTGAGAAAAAACAGAGGATTCTAAACCCTTCAAAGGCTCATTTTGCTTTCCTCTCAAAAATGGGAGGAATAGTAAATACATAAATAAAAGAGACAATTATTGATTGCATGTTTGAGCCCAAACATTTGTAACGAGAAAATCTCTAATATATCCAATCTAGTTGCTTAATAGAACTTTCTTTCCCTTCCTTTTCCATCAACCCAATCCACTATCTTTAGCAAGCAACATGATGGGGGGCACTAATATCTTTCTTTCTTCTTCTTTTTTTTTTTCTCTTTTTTTTTTTTCCCCTGCTTATCCAAACAAGAAGAGAGATTAATGGTTAACACCACATTTCTTTAAAAATTGAGGAACAAAAGAAAGAAAAATGAGAAAAAACGAAGGATTCTTAAACCCTCAAAGGCTCATTTTGCTGTCTTCTAAAAATTGAGAGGAATAGTAAAATAAATGAAAGAGGCAATTTTGTTTTCATGTTTTTAACGAGAAAATCTCTAATTTATCCAATCTAATTGCTTAACAGAACATTCCTTCCTTTCCTACCAACCCTATCCAATATGTTTATCAAGCAACATGAGGGGGGGCCTTTAATATCCTTAATTCTTTTTTCTTTTTTTTTTTTCTTTTTCTTTTTTTTTTTCCCCCCTACTTATCCAAACAAGAATAGAGATTAACAATTAACACCACATTTCTTTTCATTCTTTTTGTTTCTTTAATCTCATAACTAATGTAATTTCTCCATTTCCTTTCCCTCCACTTATCCAAACACATTGCTAACATCAAATTTCCCAAACCCCAGTTCATTTTCTCCTCCACATGACTAACCACTTTATACAAGATTTCCAACAATTCCACCACCTCTTCTATCTTCCAGTCATGCAACAACCTAAATCAAATACCCCAAATCATTCCAAGCATAGAAGATATTCCTCCACCATAGATCCCTCGAAAAATGTAGTAACATCAATTAATAGATCCCACATTCTCCATCACCTGCAAATTTACTTTACCTAGAAATATTTAAACTAAAAACCTCCTCTACCAATGATCATGTGCCTTTTCCACGCCATTGTCATGATTTGCCACACTACACTATTCAAACAACTAGAACCAACACCTTCATTCATGCACACAATCTAGACTCTAGAAAGTGGTTCTTTTGTAATCAACTCGCGTTGAAGTAAAACCATGATTCTTTTGTATTGAAGTAAAAAAAAAAATAGCTCCTTTGAGCACAAACAATATTAAACAGCTTCAATCTCTACAACACTAAAAAAGAGGCAAACTTTACAAAATCAAAGAACACAAATATAAATAAACAAAAAAATTTAATGAACCACATAAAATCAGAAAAACAAAAAGATGAAAAAGAGACCAAATCTTAGCACAAAATCAACTAGAAACAATCAACATACCTTTGCCCATCGAGATTCCCCTGCCCACTGCTCCCTCCACTCCCATACGACCCATCCTCCGCCGCCCCCGTCGTCTGCCACACAGACTGCCACGCCTGCGACGGCGGCTGCATGTACATCGCGGGATCCATCGCCGGCCTTCCGATCATCACCCCCGGCGGCGCCGGCTGGCCCATCGGCGGGTAGTAATAGGGCACCCCACTCGCCGTAGGCCCCACCATCCCCATTCCCATCCCCATCCCCAACCCACCCTCTTCCTTGATCTCATCCCTCGGCACAATGTCCACCAAGAAATCGAAAATGTCGGTCCGGGTTATCGCCGCCGCGATGTCGTTCTTCTGCAGAGTCCGGCGCTTGTTCTCCTCCGCGTGAAGCCACGACCGGATTGTGAGCTCGAGGATGAAGAGCTCGCAGGCCTTGGCGAAGAGAATGGGTGCCTCGGCGGAGATCATACGGACGTCCTCGTCGGCCTTCATGATCTTCTTGATGCGCGCGAGTGGGAGCTGGTGGTTCTTAAAGTCGTTGACCTGCTCGATTTCTTGGCGCTGGTAGTTCCAGAACATTTGGAGCTGTTGTTGCTGCTGTTGGAGGAGGTGTTGGTACGGGGGTTGAGGTGGGTAGGAAGAGGACTGTGTTGGGGTTGCCGCTGTGGCTGCTACGGCCACGTCTGGCTGGTTGTTTTCCATTTGGGGGAATTTTTCCTGGGAAAATTGGTGTTTGGTTTGAGGGAAAATGAAAGAAAAAATAAAATGGAAGTGGGGTGCAATCAGCCTATCTGGTATGTGGGAGAAGTGTTGGGGATAAGGTACAGTGGTTGTACAGATTCTTGTGTGACCAATTACTTTCTCTTATCTTTTAATGAAAGGGATTGGTGGTTCCTTTGCTTGTTGATTTGTCTGAATTTAAAACCTTTTTCCCCCTTTTGTTTTTGTTTTGTTTTTTTCCAAATAATTACACTTACCTCCCATGTGATTGCCTAAATAACAGAGACATCTATTCTATTTTCAAATATAACACTATCTTCCCAGTAAATAAGGTCTAAGTAAAACGTTGTTATATTATCTGACACTCTTGTCCACCCCTAAAATTAGTTTAGAAAATTTTACTCATAAATTATGGCTCCATTTTTTTCATTGAAAAAAAATTCACACACCAGTTTGTCCTTATCAAGATTTAAACCTTCACATTTCATTTTAAAAGATAGATGAGATATTATTAGGTTACATAACCTTTGATGTTATCACTTATGGCTCCATTTTATCATCACATAGAAAAAAAGTTTGAATTTTAAAAAGAATTGAGTATATAAAACACCCCTAAGGTTTACTTTTTGAAGAAATAACACTCTTATTTTATTTTGGGCATATAACTCCCTTAAAATTAAAAAAATGTTGCAAACCAGGGCTTTCGGCAATCAACTATTAGAATAGAAATTCACATACCTTTTGTCCTTATCAAGATTTAAACCTTCACATTTCATTTTAAAAGATAGATGAGATATTATTAGGTTACATAACCTTTGATGTTATCACTTATGGCTCCATTTTTTCATCACATAGAACAAAAGTTTGAATTTTAAAAAGAATAGAGTATAGAAAACACCCCTAAGGTTTACTTTTTGAAGAAATAACACCCTTATTTTATTTTGGGCATATAACTCCCTTAAAATTTAAAAAATGTTGCAAACCAGGGCTTTCGGCAATCAACTGTTAGAATAGTATCGTTAACAAATCATGTGTCTCGCACATGACTAATTAATTGTATTAAATATCAAAAATAGCCTTCTTTGACTGAATTTTTTTACTATTTTTCAACTGAATTTTTACATTAACTAAATTTTATTTACTATTTTTTACTATTTAAATACCGAAAATGCCCTTCTGATGATCGCTGAAAAGTTTTAAACCCTCTAAGCGAGGGTATTTTAGTTCATTCATCTATCTTATTTTCCCGCTTTAGATTGATTTCGTGTTATTTCCATTTTCAGATATTTATCCCCAAAATAAGCTAACTCAACCAAATAAGAGCAGAAATGAAATAATTCTGGGATGAATTAAAAAAAGGAGCAAAGTAGAGCAAAAGGAAGCAAAATGTGGAATTTCAGTAACTTCAATCGATCTCAAGAAAAGTTCGATCGATCCAACATCATTCTCTGATCGATCAAACTTTCTTGTCCTTATCCACATGCCAGATCTTATCCAGCTGTACCACCCTACCAACCACTTTTGTCCTTTTCCCAAAAAGATCTTCAAAATATCTCAGATTTGTTTTTATCCAAAAAAGCGCCGCCATTGAGGATCGATCCAGCTTCAATTCGATAGATCTCAGCCATGTTCGATCGATCTCACCTCAAGTTCAATCGATCGAACTTCCCAAATCCCGAAAAAAATCTAAATTCCAACTCATTAAAAGTTGTCTCATATCCAATCATTAGAGGATTATTGGTGTACGAGCCCAGCTCATTTGTGGTGATATTTGACCTATCTATATAAGGAATATGAGCCACTTTTACACATATACACATACTTAGAAAAGATAATACTTAGTGAGGAAGTAAAGGAGAAGAGGAGGCTAGAGACACCATTGGAGACTCTTCATCAACCAAGGAGCAGATTTCTTCCATGGAGCTTGACCTTGAGGGTTGGAGGACATCATCCATGAGTGGTTAGACATCCTCTTGGGGTTAGAGTTAGCCCTAAGCATGCTTTCTACTTCTTGATTTATGTATTTTTGAGCGGATTTGTTTTGTGATACATGTTTTGACACTTATATTTATATAGATCTTGTTTATTCGATGATTTGTATGGTTTAATGCTTCCAATTGATCATTTCATTCTATCCATATGTCTATGTATGCTAGAATAGATGTTCATGTCTTTGTCTCTATTTCTTGTGTTATTGATGCATGTCTATATGTATTAATGCTATAGATCTAGAGATTATCAAGACATAATGCTTAATGGCATGTTCTTGTGGTTTATTTAATGGTTCATACTCATTTCTTGATGGATTGTACCTCTTCCTTAGTTTAATTAGTTTAATTTTATGTTATTAGCTTAATTAGTTTAATCCATGCTTGTTGTTGATGTTCCATACTTATGAAAGCAAGTAACATTTATCTCTAACCTTATTATGTGTTTGGTTGTGAGCTTAAAGAAGGGATTAATGGCTTAATTTGATATGTTGTGCTATCCACCATGTTGCTTAGACAATATATGCTTAATTTGTCATTCATGCTTATTGAAACAATCACACACACACTCTTTGTTGCAATACATGTTTTTCCCCTCATTAATCATTCATTAAAGGTGTAAAAAAGTATGCTTAGTGGTGATCTCTAAACCCCAATATCTCTCTCTCTTTTATTCTCCTTATTGCATTATATTTTACTTTAGTTTAAATTGCATCTTAGTGTAATTCAACCACCAACCACTATTTTGATCACTCAACCTACTAACCCTAATCTTGATTCCTTAACCTAGTACGACCCTCAATCCCTTTGGACGATCCCTTCTCACTCATACTACACAGTATAGGTGTTAAGCGGTTTATAAATTAAAATTATGATGCACACTTGACACTAATTTCCAAACTCAAAGTGTTATGCATTACTTTGTGCACACGCTCGGGAAGTCATCATAGTTTTTGGCGCCGTTGCCGGGGATTGATTGATTGGCAACGTCGTATTTGTGGAATCAATTAGGAATTAGTACTCCTTTGATCCTGTCTTTACTTTATTTTTATTTCAATTTTTGCTACGTATTGTATTGGTTCTTGTTTGACTAGGAGTATCGAGCTAGGAAGTAAGCAAATGAGCATTCAAGCAAAGGAGCTAAGCAAGCAAGGAAAAAGGCTAAAAAAAAATATATTGCTAAGCTAAAAGCTAAAAATTTGGAGTTGAAGTGCTAAAGGACCTTTGTGAGCTTTTTCTTACTCAATCTCTAGTTAAATCGTCGGCCCGCGTGGAGGCTTGTATTTCAATTCTTAGATAAATCGTAAGCTCACGTGGAGGCAATTTACTTTTCTTGCATATTGTTAAAGCATGGGAGTATGGGAACATTGTATATGGAGGAAGTTTGTTGATTATTGACTTGTTGTGAAGGTGAAGTGTTTGTTATTATTTCTTGTTGTGTTGCATTGTGCATTGTTTGAAGATCATTGAGATCCACTCTTGTCCCTTTAAATTTTCATCTTAAATCCATTGTTTGAAACCATAGGGGAAGAGGAAGTTCTAGTCAATCCATTTCATTAATGGAAGGACATAATAAGGACCATGTGGAGGACCTTGGTCACATAGACCAACAAGGTATCCTCCACCCCAATGTGCATCATGATAACACGCAAGTTCCATTAGGCATGCCGAGACCATTTGCTCATCCACCACAACAACAAGGCCAAGTTCCATTGGGAATGCCAAGGTCAATCTATGTTGCACCACCTCCCATCATTCAAGGCAATCAAGGTGCCCATGTTGCACCTCCAATTGCTAATCCTCCACTTGCTTTAAGAGATCACTATGTGCCTAATGAATATAATGCACTCACATGCATTCAATTGCCACTATTTAGAGCACACCACTATGAAATCAAATCACAAACCATACAAATGCTTCATAACTATCATGGACTTCCAAGTGAAGAACCTTACAAGCATTTGGATGAGTTTCTTGAAGTATGTTCCACCGTGAATTACACGGACATGCCGGAAGAGGTCTTAAGGCTTAAACTTTTTCCATTCACCCTTAAAGACAAGGCAAAATATTGGTTTAACAATCTTAGGCCTTTTTCAATAACTTCTTGGGCAGAAATGCAACAAGAGTTCTTGAAGAAGTACTATCCAGTTTCTAAGACCAATGCTATGAGAACTTCAATTAGGGAATTTTCACATGGGGATGGGGAAACATTTCATGAGGCATGGGAATGCTCTAATGAATTGCTTAGGAAGTGTCCACATCATGACATGCCCAAATGGCAATTAGTTCAATATTTCTTTAAGAGCTTATCGGATAATTACAAGGGCATGGTTAATGCGTCCATGGGTGACTCTTACATTGATAGGCATGAGGATGACGTGTGGCGTCTTTATGAGAGCATGAATAAAAATCCTTTGCATCGTACTTTATCTTCGAAGAATGGTAGAAATTCTAGTGGTAGAAAGAATGTTGGCTTACATCAAGTCGACCACTCCAATGAAATTGCCGCCGAAATGAAATCATTATCTCAAAGGTTTGATCAATCAAAACTTGGCGAATCAAGTATCTTTCTTCCCTAACTATTCTCATCATGCATCTAATGAGACATGTATGACTTATTCAAGTGTTTTACATTCTACTTCCAATTGTCCCCATGGACATGTGCAAAGTGAGCATCATGAACAAGTAAATGCAACATTTGTGAATCAAGGGAACAATCCTTATGGCAATCATTACAATCCTAGTTGGAGGAATCACCCGAATTTCTCTTGAAAAAACCAAGGGGAGGGCTCAAACCCTTCCCAATGTGGTTTTCAAGGGAAATACATTCCACCTCCACTACAAAGCCAAGGTTCCCAAGGTTTTAGATCATCATACCAATCATAAGGAAACCAATTCTCTGATTCTCATTTTCCTAATCAACCATCATATTCCCAAGGAAATGTTAGACGTCCCGCTTTTGAAGAGAAAGTTTTGACCGCTTTGGGCACTTTAGAGGCAAACATACAATTACTTCATTCTCACTCTCAATCCATTGCTAAGCTAGAAACACAAGTAGGGCAAATAACTAATACTTTGAATGCTAGAGAGAAAGGGAAAATGCCTTTGAATGCCCCACAAAAACAACAATGTATTGTGGAGACTCATTCCTC